ATAACCACACATTGTAAACCATGACAGTCTGTACCAGATTGTGGACAAAATCAAAGTGGCAGACAAAAAAAAAATCCGAAATATTTCAGAAATGCAAAGATGCTCCAAATAGAAGCACTGTGTGCTAGAAATCATATTATCATAGTTTGTGTAAGTTCACAGTGCTTTGTAGCTTCAAATCCAGCAGGAAGTTAGTGTCACCCAGCAAAGATACTCAACTATACATTCACAACTGTATCACAAGGTATTGTAAATGCATAAAAATCATTCCTACGTAGATTCAGTCCAGTCATTCACGTAAACCCATGGGTAAAATACCCAGCAGTTACTGATTAAACTGAAATGCACATTTCAAGCAAAAATATATGCAAGCAAACCAGATACTTATTATTTCTAGCCTTTTTCTGTAAAATAAATATCTATAAATATTTTTTTAAAAAGTACACTAATCAAAACTACTACACATATTTTGAGTAAGCTCTATTTTTTTTTTTACCTACCACCAAATTTAATAATCTTTGCAATTGTAGATGTCACTTTCCACCGACTAGTGAAGCTAGTTTGACATTTCTGACGTTCTCCTAACTTAGCATTTTTTTATGTACCTAGTCCCCATCACAAAATTTACAGACAAGAGTGAAGTGCCTATGTTCCCAGTACATTGCTTGGAAAAGTACTGCAAAACCAGATTCAGCAACAGTCTGAGAGTTGCCTCAAGTCATGAGGCCAAGCTGTCAATCCCTAGTGTAATTAAGAGAATATGCTCAGGAGGAGATGGGCCTTGAGTTCTACCTCTCTGTAACAGATAGTGTTTACTCAGCTAAAAAAGAGCAACTTCCTTCTACATGAATGGTTTGGGTTAGACTGATCAAATAGCCCTCACTCCAAGCCTAGAAGATATTCTTGACAGGAATCTAGTAGGTAGTTGATCCTTTAGTAGCAGATTCAACCCACTAAACTGACAAAAAGTTAACTCTGGAAAAATGCAAAGACTTTCCTGGTGAGCAGAACTGGCTCAGAAAGGGATCGGTGGAGCTCCAGGATCAATACAAGGGAAAGGACAGGATCTGACACCTTGGAGCTAGGGGAGGAAGAAGACTACCATACTCCACAGCAGTAATCCATTGGATTGGTTCAACTGCCTTGCCAAACCACTCTAAATCCACTACTTTGTAAAATGGAACAATTTTGTTTTAAAATAATTATTTTGGTAGTGAGCTCTTTTATCACAATAGCTCAGTAAACATAACACTTAGCCATGCTGTGAAGTGCATTTTAATTCCCTCTTCAACCCAACAGAATGTAGACCTCCATCTTTTATCTTTCAAAAATAGTCACAGTCTATCAGCTAGCCCTGGTTAGAAGGAAGTTGCTCTTAGTATAGAAGCATTCAGACTCCACAAGTCAATCATGGCTTCTGTGCAGAGAATCTGTGAAAATATTTTTGCCACATTTTCCCTAGCAGTTAAATTGTTTTCAAAGCCACGCAACCCCACACCAGAAAGACCCATTAAAAAAAATCATTTTACCCATTTATGGTCTTGCAAAAGGACATGTTACATACCAGACACCTGACTTTTTTCTCTTTATTCTGTTAAGTCTGACACCATCAAAGGAATTCTTGAACAGACAAAACAATCACAGAATCACAAAATGGTTGAGGTTGAAAGGGACCTCTAGAGATCATTTAGTCCAAGCCCCCTGCTCCAGCAGGAACACCTAGAGCACATGGCACAGTGTCGCAACCAGGTGGGTTTTGAAGATCTCCAGAGGAGACTTCATAGCCTCTCTGGGCAGTGCGCTGTCACCCTCTTCGTATGGAGATGAAACTTCCTGTGTTTTAAGTTATACCCACTACCCCTTATCCTGTCACTTACCACCACCGAGAAGAGTTTGGCCCCCAAAAGTTTGCAATCTAAGACGGAGAGTTGAAAATCCTTTCTATGTCAACAGCCAAAAAGGCTAAGGGGAAAATACTAGAAACGTTGAAACCTGGAAAATTCTATGCAGGGCAACTATATGGTCCAATGTTCTACTGAAAGTGGGACCTTAGGTCATCTGGAGCTTTGTCAAGATGAGTCTTGAATACATACAGCAAGGGTGATCTCACCACTCCTCTAAACAAGTAATCACAATGTTTAATTGTTTTTATATTGCGGATTTTATTTCCTATATACACATGGAATTTCCTTGGAATCAACTTGAACCATTGCCTCTTCTCCATTACGTATCCTAGATGAAGAATCTAGTTATTACCTACTAGGTATCAGAGACATGCAATTAGACGCTCCCCCCCCTCGCAATCTGAGCTTTCTCTCTCTTGGCTATACAAAACCTATTCCTTCCATCTTTTTTTCATTTGTAAAGTTCTCCAACCCTCCAAACATCTTGATCGCCATTCCTGGGATGCCCTCCAACTTTTCACTTGTCCTCTTGAACTGGGAGGGTCAAAAGTATACACTATATTTCATGTATAGCCTAACACAGACCCATATATATAATCACAGTCTGTGCTCTGTTGACAATATAATTGCTGATGCAGCCTGGAATATGGTTTGCTTCATCACTGCTCAGACACTCTGTTCACAGCAAGATAATTTTCAGCAGAGCTGCTGAGCAGCCACTCAGCACCTTATCTGCACTACTACTTGGAGCTTTTTTGGGGGGGGCGGGGGGGGGGGGCACTGTGTATGACTTTTTGTTAAATTTCATGTTATTCTTGTTGGCCAAATCTACCAGCCTGAAATTTATGAATAATGAGTGAACAATCTTCATGTTAGAGAACCATGTGCTGCTGCCACCCGTTGGAGTTAATTCATACTCATTGAGAACCTCCAGTGATTTTCAGATACATACTGAAAGTTCATATGATCTATGAACTTCAAGAATATTTCAGTACCTATCTTGTTGCTTATGTATATTCCTTATTTCTAGATATATCTGGGAGTAAAAAGAATTTTAATCCAGTCCTCTGCAAAGTAACAACCTATTGCCTCCTTTTTCCCTTTTGTTTGTAAAATCAGAGGGCATAAGGCAACATCTGACAGGCAACAGCCAATCAGGACAGAAAAAAAGTATAGATTTATATTTTACAGAGCTCATAAATAGAATTATATGGTAGCCATGTGATATGGGCTGGGCCTTTGGTCCTTCCTGCTTTGGGAGGCAGAGATCAAGATTCTTCTGCTCTGCAAGGACAACAATTTTCAGGACAGTTTTTTCTCATTAAAAGAAAGGAAACCAAAAAGCTTTCAAACAGGTAAGCACTCCCCAGCCGTTTGCTCCGCCCTTTCTCCCCTAATGAGTTTCCTGCTTTCACGGGACAGACGTGCAAATCAAAAATCTGGAGAAACAGAAGGTATGTAGAAACTCTTTTGTATTCAAAATCTAGAAAAAAAAATAGCTTCTAGTTTCCCCTGCAAAACTAGTGCAACAGGATCTTCTTGTGGTTTGGTACCTTCCCATATTCACTAATTTCCAGTTTTTATTTTTTAAAAGAAGTCTTCCTTGTCTCTGTACAGGAAAACTGAAAAGGAGGAAAATTTTTATTGGCACCCTATTCTATGGTCAGAAGGGGAAGAAGCACAGACAACGAGTTTTCACATTTTCTTGGGATGAAGAAGGAAGTTAAAACATGATTGTCCCTACCTCGCAAAAGCACTTTCTGGTGAGTGTATGCTGAAAGCTGACAGTAGAAAAAAAGAAGATAGCAAAAAGGTAGTACGTTCAGTCTTTCTGTATATGGTGTGTGTGTGTGTACATATGTCTCCTTTATAGAGCAGATGAATTTTTAACTGTGTGAATGTGTCTTCAGTAGACCTTGCAGCACACTTAAGAAAACCTCTATTGGACTTTTTACTTTCTAGTGTTAAGTACTTGATTTAACAATCAAGTTAAATTTAACTTTAGCGTTAAGTACTCTAAAAAGGAGACATATACATTTACATATTTTTACTGTATAGCAAGGAAATGCATTTAGTGTGCAACAGAGCAGAATGTAATATGTAATTATCTAAAACTGTATTTTTGTTTGGAGATGTATTTTCACCAAAAAAAAAGAAAAAAAAAATGTATCTGTTGTTTCGCTCTTCTCTCTCGAAGGGGTCATCATCAGCAGTGGAATTTATAGATATGTTAGTGGAACACCTGCAAGACGACGCCTTAATTCTGCTAACTCTTGAATACTAGATAGATCACTGGTATTCATTCCATATCCACTGTACATAGCAATGACTGTCTCTTTGACAGAGATGAGATTTTGAAGGAGGGGCAGGAGGAAGTCTGTCAGCTGACAAGGGCTGATGTGTTCGAGAACAGAATGATGGGAAAAAGCACCATCAACAGAAAAGAACTGCATGCATATCCAGATAGTCAAACATACATGTACGTTTTTCAAAATCAGACACAATTCAGCTATACCTGCAACCTAACATTATCGGATTGTTACACCAAGGTTAGCCCTCTAATTCACCAGGGCAGAATGTCCCATTATTAGAGCTACCTTCCAAGATCTGAGCCATTATCTGAATATTCTTTATGCAATGCAATATTGTCCTAGAATAAAACTTCTATATTTATTCCATTTCATCTTTTATGGTAATATCAAATCTACACCCTAGGCTTCTCTCAGCTCTTCTGAGGACTGTATCTTTTTTTTTTCAGATGAACCTGACGATAAATGCTTGTGGTTTACTTATGCCTTTTATGTCTTGCAACGTTCAGTCTAAGCATTACCATTATTTAATATGTATTCCTATAGCAAATTCTAAGGGCCGTATATATTTACATTGGCATATGCTTACACACAGATATGTTTATATCTGCATGTTCTCATGATGATACTATGGTACTTAAGTACATATGTTCTTATTTGGATCATAAAAATAAGAACATCTTTCTATCCTCATGTTTTGTGTTGTAAAGTTACTGTTTTCCACAGATGTCTGTCCCTGTAGCCAACCATCGGTCCTCCATTGCCTGCTACCACCACCCATCCTACCATGTGGTTAGAGTCGCACTGGAAGAACATCCGCCAAACCTTGCTGCTGCTTTTCGCTGCTGCTCTTCTCATTGGAGTCACTATGCTTGCCATTTCATCTAGTATCAATCCAGTAGGCTATTTCTTCCTAGGGGTAGGAGGAGTGTGCCTGATTGGCTATTTGTTGAGTGTGTTTGCCGAATGCTACCTGAAGCATCAGCGTCTACGTGATAGAAATGAGATCTCCCCTAGCAGAGAGAGCCAAGCAGGGTAAGAAGCAAACTCTGATACTCCTTTAACTTTCTCTTCTTATATAAGACTATTTTGCATATTGTTTTGCTGCCCTTTCCCCCAAGGAACCAAACTCAAGCCCCATTTCAGAGTACATAAATTAATTGCAGAGTATTTTTCCTTCATTACCTTGGCACAGTTTGCAGGTGTCTATGTCATGACTTTCGCTTGTCCAATCTAAACTTTCTTCCCCTTGGGAACAGATTTCCAAGACTACACTGATCCAGAACCCCTTTATCTTCTCTTGATTAATTGTGTCTTGCCCAATGAGTCAGACAAGGAAATCAGGAAAAAATGCTGAGGCAATACTCAATCTTAGCAGGTTTACTTTTATAAGCCTTATTTCCAAAGCAACTGTCCTTGGCAAGATTTACAGAGGAAGGTGTAACTGGGCGTGTTTCATTTCTTAAAAGCCCAACAAGTAGCTCCTGATGTTGTGAAGCTCTGAATACTCCCTGATTCTTTTGGCACTATCTATGTTTTCAGGAACTTAGGACCATCTAATTTAAGCTCAATTTGTCTACTGTAGATAATTTTATTTGCATCTTTGATGGCTTGTATAATCAAGGATAATCGTCATCCACATCCATAAACTTCTCAACATTCTCAAATAAAAACTTCTATGAGGGCAAAAATATTACTACAGGTTTACTGTTATACATAATACATAAAAAGAAATTTTGTTGTGCATTTTTCTAGCTTAAGGGTGTACTGGAGGAAAACTCCTATCTATTTATTCAAAAGGGTAAATGTTTCTAAAGAAATGTCTCTAAAGTAATATCTGCAGAGAAAAACTGCAGATTCTTCTTTAATACAGAATGGATTTTTTTTCAAGTGAAAGTGAAAACACTTATTTTTCTCCACTTACATTCTTAAAAATAAATGAATGTTAGTCTAATGTACTAAAACAGAGACAGAAAAGGAGAACTGCACTTAATTCTTATTAAGTTGTAGCTAATAAAAAGTTTTAAATGAGGGGATACTAAGCCAAGCTTAGGGCACTAGATTGGACAGTCTGAGTTATCGCTTATTTTGTTAGGTGTGTGTGTGTGGGGCGGGGGGGGAAGTCAAAGAAGCCTTTTTCCAGAATAGGAGGCAAGACTTAATATCTATAATATTTTATATTAACCACATCACCTGCTTAGACATAAAATAATAAAATAACCAGTAACCAGTTTAATTGGCATTCCTTTCTTTTGTGCATAGGGTGAATGCTGCCTATGAAGCACCTTCCTATGAGGAGGTGATGACTATGTCAGCTCCAGCAATATGGACAATTGCATCCAATCCAGGCACAGTACCCTCACCACTGAGTGATCCTCCACCTTACAATGTAGTTATTGAATCATCTGCCCAAGAAGAGACTGTGGTAGAGTCTTTCAGGGTCTCAGTGCCATCTGACACAACGCACACCTCTGAGACAGACACCAGCTCCAGGATGCGCTTGCAGCTTGTGCAGCCCCCCAGGTTGCAGCGTTTTGTTTCAGACATCCATGAAGTGAAAGGCACTGAAGACAGGCTTGAGCCACTGGAGCCACTCACTCCACCACCTGCATATGAAAGTGCCATCAACAATGAGGTCTTTGAAGATGCTTTCCAACCCTCAATATTATGATTAATTCCACCTTCTATGCATGCAATGCCAAACCCTCAGCACAATGTAGGCTACACCTGAAGAGGAGTCTTTCATGCCTGAAACAGTTGAAGTTTGTCTTGTCATTCTTCGAACCAGAGGTGACTACAGACCTACCTTCTGATTTCACTAGACTCTTCATGCATGCTCAAAACAATACCACAGCGCTTTGTCCTGGCAGAAGATATGGAAGATCACCAGCAGAAAATAAAAGCTGTGCGATATACAGCAGCAATTCTGAGCTTGGGGATACATCTTTTTGGAGAAGAGAATCATGGCAAGAGACACTGTGGCCAAAGGACTGCTGAAGAACTGTGGGATGTCGCCAGGACAGGCTGGCTTGGAAAGGACAGGAACAGGAACAGAAACAGCAGTAAGAGGAAGATAATAGTTTCTCTTATGTAAGAGTGGCCAACAAAGGGACACATGCACATACCCTCTGCCCAGGCCACCACTCTTCCCAATTTTACAGGAGAAAGTATTTCTCTGTTGTACCACAGACCACCACAGATCACTTTAGATAATTTATTATCATAATGACTGATGTGTTTGCATAGAAATGCCAATGTTGCTCAAGTTCTCAGTAACAAACCTGTGCACTTAAGGTTTTGTTTGGAAAGGCCCTTTTCCAAGGTCAAGTTAAGACTGCAGCAGAGAGCACCTGGGAATAACAGTTATAAAGCACATGTGATCTTTATCCTGATGGTTCTGCTATAAATCAAGTCTCAGTGATTAGAGATGCTACACACTTTTTGAAAACAGCCAAGTTAAACTTAGGTTCTGAAATGTTAGAGTTGAAGTGGTCTGCAGTTTGCCAAGAGACATTCAGGTCTCGTGAATGTCCAAATAAAAGCATTAAATATGGAGATCCAAATTTCCTTATGAAAGAGAGCTGCAATCATCACAGACGTGGAATACTGTGAAAACAAAATGGAGCAAGAAAGAAAAGAAAAAATGCACATGCTGAGCATCAAAATATCCAAACAGCAGCAAAACTGTGTTTAAGTTAAACCATTCAGTAGCACATGCTGAGCATCAAAATATCCAAAATAGCATAAATTCTTACTGAAGTTACCTGTGAAAAGCTTCTGAATGGCTTTACTTCACCAAGGTGAAATTACACTTGATTGACATTTTGTCTCATGTGACTGCATCATTTTTAGTTCATATCAGGAATCACAAAGCCATGGGTTAGCAGCAAACACATTCATTATTTCCAAAGTTTGAGTCTTCATAGTTCAAAAGTATAGGACTTTGGGTGTTTGTTATAAATAAGCAGGACACTAATGGTGGATGTTAAGAATATCTGATGGTATTGTCACTTTTTCCTCTTGTTAGAAACACTCCACAAAAATCTTGACTAACAGCTGCTTGCATTTTGCTTATTTGATAGTCTTGGCTTAGAAAACTGAGAGGAATTCTGTATCTAAGTGCACAGCTGAATCACTTCAATATCACTGATGACAAAGCAGCTACAATATCTCTATCATTAAAGTGTTATGACAAAAAAAAAACACAAGAGAGACTCTGTCTTTTTTAAGGCTTATTATTTCCTTCATGTATCAGAACACACTCTCTTATTCCACTATCAGCAAAGCCAAGGTAATAAATTGTAACTAGCAGTTACGGGTAGCAGTTTACTCATAAGGGAATAGAGATTTATGGCCTAGGTTGGGCATCCTGGGATCTTTTTTGCTGCAACAAATGCTAAGGACCAAAAAAAAAAAAAAAAAACACAACCATTAGAGAGATGCTAGCCAAAAAAAAAAAAAAAATAAGAATTGTCCCCATGTATGACCAAAAGGATTTTTCCTTCAGCATTCAAGAGGAATTATTTAAGTATTTCAGCTTGTGTTAAGTTTTAGCATGCCCCAAGGACCAACAAGGTGAAGCTTTACATGGCAAGAACTAAAAAATCCTGCTTCCATTAAAAAGCATGCTCGTTTACTTCACCCTCTCTATTTCAGGTCCATGCTACATGCCCTGTATGCTCTCTTTATTCCTCCTATATATTCGGCAATCCTGAAGTCCTTTTTTTTTTTTTTTTCTCTCTCCTTAATCTTACCTGATTTCTGCCTAGCAAAACATATGCAACAGCTCAAAAAAAAAAAAAAAAAAAAGAACATAAACCAGAAAGCAATCCTATTTCCACGCAGAGCCCCTCGCACTAACCTCCCGGCGTGCAGAAACGCCACCACGGGGCGAACCAAAGCCGCGCTCG